TTGCAAAGAAGCAACACGGTGCCACTGCTAAGGGAGCGGTGCGAGAGAGACAACTGTCAGTTTATCGAACCTTGTATTATTGAATCATGATCGTAACAATATGTAAATCTTTATATGTAGGTAAATGTATAAAGACACGTATGAGGAAATGGCTGCGTTTCTTTATACATTCCGGATAATCCCATTTCACAGCCGGAATAAACAGAATGCGTTTGAAATATACGTTGACATATCATCAGGAACGTTCTAAAGAATAAGTAAACAAAAAAGTTTATTCCAAACGTTCAGAATGAATAAAGAAATGCAGCCAATATAACATGGATTTACATAATTGCATTTCTAATTGGACAGCGTTCCTTTTTAAAGAATTTCGGCGACATCTACATCTCAAGATTCATGGTGTACAAGGTGATGGCAACTCTGTTTTGAACGTCAAGTAACTTTTTGTCAGCGCTGCATTTGTTTATTTACAAATAGTCAAACCAAGTTACGAGAATTGTTTACCAAAATTTTGCAAAACTATTACAGCGATGGTATAAGAATTATAAAATATGAATCAAGCTTCAGAGCTGAGAATATCCGACTGCAGCAGCGATGAAGAGAATTGGTTATACAGGCGCGCCAAACCTAATCATTCCGACTCAGATGAACTAAACACAACTATCATTACTTGGAGCAGTGATGATGATTTGGGAACAGAAAACTGCCAAAGTTTTCACAATAGAAGTTGTATTGTACAAAGTGTAGCAACTCCAGTTACTCGAAAGTGCAGCAGCTCCGCCAGAAAGTCCAAATTGCCAAAATTGAGTGTGAAGCGTAAATTAAGTAAAGTAATTGAATATCATCCAGAGACCCGAACTACATTAGGTACTAAAAATGTACCTTCAAACTATACAAACAATTCCAACCGTTCACCTTGGTGTAAAGTTCGTAAAACATTTGCCACGCTCCGACGACATAATAGCTATCCCACAGCCGGTGACTGTGGGGAGAATAATGAAAACACAATCGCAATAAAACACTTATCACCACAAAAATCGGAGGGCACATCCATTGAGTGGTCTTCCTCTTCATCTGAGTCTGGTTCGCCGAAGCGGACAACAAACAGCGGTACAGTAACCACCCAGAAGAGTACCGCGCCCACAGAACTGGAATTGCTGGTAGCGCTGATCGAACGTGAAAATGCAGCAGCCAAAACTCTCTCACTGGCTAATAAACAGAAAAAGAAACTAAAACGTGCTATACTAGGTGGCTATGTGGAACGTTTGCAAAAATTAGAGGAAGCGAATCGCATTGAACGTAATTTCCTGCAACACGATCAGCAGTTGGGGCTTCAAAGTGGCACCCGGTTGCGGGTTTTGCAAATCCTACAGGTGTGCGCAGTTCACATGGCCACCGTGCAGTTGGAGCAAGCCGATGGAACTACTACTAATGATGAGGAGACAACAACTATGCGAATTGTTATTGATGCGGACATGGCAGCGCACGTAAAAGAAGGCAGCAGAATAGAGGCCTTTTTCGACGTGAATATTAAACCATATACCATAGTACAGGAAAGTGGTAAAGAAGTCATATACGTACAACCACATAAATTGCTGCTGCTATAATAATTAATATGCACAAGAGTAATATTTATTTTTTAGATATTGAATTATGTATGAAAGTTTTAAGTTTTTTTTTTAATTTGCCAGTTTTTGTTCAAAACTTTAAAAAGACTAAAAATTAAATGTATTTGAGTTTTGAGTTTGCTAATTAAAGTGATAATTGCCTATAGATTAAATAAATAGAAAATCAATGTTACTTCGTGTAACAATTTTAGAAAGTAAATTTAATTATTTAACCACACATCTAATAGAAGATTCATATGTATTTATGTTTGACAAAGCTAATAGTATTATTGAGGGGTTTGCACGTTTAAATAACGTTTTATAATCGACTTAATTTCGACAAAGAATATGCGAATGTGGAGCAGGCCAATGGAACTACGACTAATGATGAGGAGACAACAACTATGCGTATTGTTATTGATGCTGACATGGCAGCGCATATAAATTAAACCATAAACCATTGTACAGGAATGTGAGGTAGCCGCTAAAGAAGTCATATATGTGCGTAAAATCACATAAATTGTTGCTACTATAATAATTAAGATTAATATTTATTTTTTAATTTTTACGCCTAGTGAATTATGTACGAATATTTTAAGTTTTTTTAACTTGCCAGTTTTTGCTCAAAACTTTAAAGACTTAAACTTAAATGCGATTAAGTTTTGAGATTGTTAATTAATGTGCTTATTACCCATAGATTAAATAAATAGAAAATTGATGTTAATGCGAGTAACATTTTAAGAAATTAATATAACTATGAACTCTTTTTAGCCATACATCAAATATGTATTTATGTATGTTTGACAAAGCGAATAGCGTTTGAATATATAAAAAATTACACATTAAAAATTCAAACAACGGGGCCTAGTCATAGTTGAAACAAATGCGGCACAAGCTACAAATAACTTTATATTCAGCTTAATTCCGGCTATGAATATGCCCCGAGTACAAATATTTATTATAGAGCCAAAAAGCAATAAATAACTTTTTTGAATGCTCAACCTTGTGGTTTTAAATATTTTTTAACAGGGTATATGTGTGTACAGATATGTATGTATGTACATACATATCTACTCAAAATTGTTGTCTTATCGCATTCACTCGATAAGCACTTAATTATTCAAGTATGTAGTAGCTGATAAAAGGTTTTTCACTCAAAAATTCATACCATTCAATGCAACCACATTTTGTTGATGGTAATAAAAATTTAGTTAAACTGTTTTGACTCTCAGTTGTAGTCGTGTCAAATAGAGACAAATATTTTCCTATTCCATTCTATAAAAAAATTTAGTATTTGTTTTATTGGACAAATTCACTGTATTTACTTTCACTTTGTCGATTCATTGACCTCTATAAGATAGTTGTAAAGTCAACGAATAGTGATACTTATAGTCATTCTATATTATATCAGCTAATGGAATTCTATATTAACTGGCGGAAGCAATTACATATCAGTACAAATATTACCTCATCGGCACGCAACTTATTTTATGGCGACTTGATGACATCGCGATAAGCGCTAAAGCACAAACAACAAAAATGGAAGCATGTTGGTAAAGCATACAGCTGGATGACGGTTATAAATAGGCAATGGATTAAAAGTGAAATTAGAATTTGATGTAGACGTAGAAGGCAAGGAATTGCCTATCACATAGAGAGCACAACAAATCAAAGAGAGCAAAGGATATGAATTGCGCATGCGCTCGTGTGAGTGTAGGTTGGAAACGCCAACATTTGCTTCCAATTTTTTTATATGAATGAATGGCTGGCTAGCACTTGAATGTGGGTAGCTTGCTACGACAGCCCGATGGCATCTGGGAAAGCTACTTACTATATAGTACACAATGCCAGTAGTTGATCTACGGCCTACGTTGGAAGTGCCTCCGCAAATATTTAGTGGTTGTAGGCATACAAATTGTTTGTTGGCAATGATTACACGCGCATAAGCTCTGCTGCATAGTGCTTGCAAAGCTAAGTAGTTGAATGCTCAGTAAGTCGGGAGAGTAGCATTGGTAGCCAGACATCCAGGCGGTTAGTCTGGCAAACGCAAAAACAATCAGGAAATACTAAAACGCACAGCCATTTATGCTCATATGTATGTATATACGAATATGAAAAGCGTGTGTGCGTGTTGAACTTCCAATGAGCAAAGAGGAAGAAGAAAATTCGAAAAGAAATTATCATTGCGACGACACGAAATCGATAAGTAAGCAGGAAAAATCAGACAATTTCTGACTGTGCTACCGAATTTTTCGCTAAAGGAATTTCTCATGTTGGTAACGGTTTTGGTATATCAAAAAAGGAAAAAAATTATTAAAAAAGAGAGTGGCCGAAAGTGTGATATACTGCAGTGCATAAAATTTATGTTAAAAAGTAGTTTGTTTAAATGAAAAAACACCAACGCAACGAAGTGGATATGTCGAAGAAAAGTGTTAGCATACATATATTTTTTATCTCGTACATATGTATAAGCATCTATTTGCATTACTTTGCTGGCGTGAAGAAAAATTTTAAATTACAAAAAATAGGCAGCAAATACATAAATATAAATTATGCTTGTAAAAAAAATGCATTTTTGGCTATAGAATCGGAAGAAGTTATTTTTTTTTTGCTGAGCTAAGCTAAATAGAAAAAATAGAAAAATAAGAAACCTAACAAAAATGCAGTGCTACATTAATTTGCAAGCTCATTATATAAAAAGTGCATATGAATTGCTAATTCAAGTGCTATGCTATGCTGCTACTTCGCTGGCTTGGTATTTCCTCAGCGCACCCACTACCGTGCGTCTGTGTGCTTGGCATTTTCGTCTGATATTTTGTGCTTACATAATCGCTCGAAAAGTGTCCATCGCGTAATACCTATATCCTTTTACTATACAATTCTTCCCTCATTGTATTCTCCTTTGCTGCTACCAGTATTTTTCATAACCAACCTAAACCAAAAAAAGGGAACAAAAATAATAAAAAAAACAACAACAACAAAACAAAGTGTTTTATGCTGCGCGCATGAATTTCATGTCTCATTATTGTGCATTATTTTCATAGTTTTCCATTTTGTCTCATTTTTTATTCTATGCATTAGTTACTATGTCCTCATTTGATTTGAAAAAAGTCGGCTGTTAGTAAAAGAAGTAAAGTAAAAATTCAACAATATTCGAACACCTGCGTCAGCAAGGCACTGGCTAACAAAATTATCAAAAAAAAAATTCTAAACTTACTTTGAAGTGGTTGCACTGAGTGCAATTGCAAACACAAACACACTCGAAAATGCAGCCCCCGCCACGTAAGGTAAGTTTACGCCCCCACAAATTCGGCTGTGATTAAGTGTTTTTACAAATATGTATTATTATTTTTTTTTACTTGTGTTAATGTGCGTTTTTGTCTTTGTAGAAGTGTTTCTCTCTCTCTTTTTTTATTTTTTTTTATGTTGTCATTCACTATACGGTGATTGTGTTTTTTTATTGAGTAGTGGGACTGATTTGAGATAATATTGGAAGTATTTAACTCCCACCTACACGGTTTTTTTTACTTCCATTGATATGTATTTATGCTTTAATTAGCATGCATAAATATTTTAGAAACAATTCCTTTTCAAAAGTCACTTCGATTTGTCATTCTAGTTTTTAAACGCTTCACTCAGTTATGCTTAGTTCTAAAATCACTTCCTTGAGTACAAATCGCTCATTTTTTGCAAGAGTGTCATAACCAAAAAAAATCAAAAACTCGCAAAAACGGCACTAAAGTTCATAGTTTACATACGCTCCCATAGTAAAAATGTAGCCACATTTCCTTCTATAAGCTATGAAATTTTTACACAATATAGGAGAAGAGGTGTGATTATTGTCGTATACTTAACATTTGACTTTTGGATTATGATACTCTTACAGCAAATGAGCGAAATGGCTTCCTTATCTAATTTGTTTTGTAATGCTATTTACTGTCACTTCTGGCCTTAGGTAAAATATATAAAACTCAGTTTTAAGTGAAATATTGCGGAATATATCGAATCGCAAAATCAATAATAAATCACTTCACTAATACACAAACAATTTTTATTTTATTATTAATTTTTATATTAGAAAATCCAGATATCCCGTCATTTCCGGATATTTGCATTTTTTCATCAAATATTCGAATATCCAGATTATTCTAATAGTCAAAAAATCCGAATCGAACTCCCAGCCCCAGTTGTATCTCTTTATAAACACAGATATGTAGATAAAGCCACCAGTAGGTCTATTGCGGTCTCAACTTATCACAACACCTCAACTAGCCCTAGACACTCCATAAATTTGAGATTAGTTTCCGCGGGTGGGGAGTGTACATATGTGTATGATTCTTAATGATTCTTACACCTCTTTGGTTCTTACACCCTTATTATAGAACCAGAATTTTCGTAATTCGTATTTCCTAGCTACGTTACGAAAGTGTTGCAGAACAGGGGTGTTAGTTTCGCCTGAGGGATTATTATGAGTACATAGTTTGTATTTTTTTAGATTGTACCCTGCTATTATGATTTTAATTTGACTGGTGTTACGCCAGTGCAGTTCCCTTCGTTTGGTATTTTAAATTCTGAGCACTTCCTGTATCATGTTGGTACCTACTGAAAGGAAGGGCTCAGGTCCTATGGAGGTCGAGGCAGCAACCATTCTGGCTTACTAATACGCATCATGTTGTTGTTGTTGTTGTTGTAGCCCCGCCCAGATCGGCTATTCTCTCAGTCGTTGTCGTCAAGCTCAACCAACGGGAGACCCACGAAACGTGCACCCTCTATAGGGTCTGTCCACAGAGACAAAGGCGTCAGTTGAGTGAGGTTTTGTGGGCACACCCGCATTTAGTCTGCTCAGATATGAGTTCAACCTGCTGCAAGCCAGAGCGAAGTTGGGCTATTGTGGTCCGAGTCTCCCGAGCCAGACGAAGCTCCGTCTCATCCGCGTCAGGTGGTTTTGTGCACAGAACGGCAGTCACAGGTCTGGAGTAAACGTAACATGAGACCGACTCCCTGTGAATGGCGCTCAAGGCCGCATCATCATTTCCTTCGACTCTGTTTGAAACGGAGTTAGCCTGTCAAACTCCTTAAGCCTTGCAGTAAATTTGGAATGCCCAAAGTGTCTTTAACGACACCTGGAATACTTTTGTTATATATATCCGGTTATATGAAGTCTCCGCGGATTTTTGGGAGCGACGAATTACAAAACTAACTTCACTCAAAATGTAGCCTGAAATGTCACCGTTCAAATGCACGTCAAGTGTGCGAAAGTTGGATTTTCGAATAAGTTAAAAAATAAAATTAAACGGGTTACAAAAGTATAGTTTAAAAACTTTTCTAATAAATAGAAAATAGCAAGTTGGTTGAGTGTTTAGACATTTTATCTTTATATTTTTTGATGTAGTATAAACTCTAGTACCAGGTTGACCGAGCTTTGCCCGGAGTGCATATATTTTTAAAGTTTTAAAGATTTGGATAGCTTTAAAAAAATATTTTGTAAATAAAAAATAAAAAATTTTGATTTCGATATATATTAAGTAAATTTCTTACTGTAAAATTTAGGTGGCATCCCTATTCCGAAAAAGGCTCGAATGAATGGTACATGTCTTGAGCGTATCTGAAAATTAACAAAATACATATTTGTATTGCATAAGAGCATGGTAACCCTGGTGAAAACTAATTTTTTACCAAAGTTCTCAACAATACCTTTCATTTGATATCCATATTGCGATGTTTTAGATAAATTGTGTAGAATCGAAAATAAGTGGCAACCTATATTTTGTATATAGGGAAAGCATTGTTTAAGAACCTTCTCTTTGTCGCCAAGAATAGTATTATTTTAGCTTTTTTTCTAAACACCAAATTAAATAAATTCAAAGTAGGTGGCAACCCTATTAAAAAAATTTTTGATTCAGGGATCTTTAAAACGCTTTCCATTTGATACGCATATTATGATGTTTTAATTAATTTGTAACTACAGTGACTTTTTTACCACAAAATTGTTATTTTTCTTTGTTAATTTCTGGCCCTAAAATAACTGAATTCAAAAGTTTCCAAAAATTATATTGATTCCTCGTTTATTGATACGATTTGGAGTAGTTAACGAGCTAAGAAATATACGAAAAGAATGCTCTCTTTGTCCTACGTTATGAGCTCTAAACGAGTGCTCGCCCGTAAGGACATTAATGCTAAAAAGGAGTGTAAAATTTACGAGGTGTAAGGTGTAATCCATTGCTAGCAAAATAGCTATCTAAGAATAATCTTTGCATGATCCTATTTTTTACTGGGCTGTATGTATTACGCAAAGATGCATGCAGCTTGCAAATTATATTCATTACCCATATGTATGTATGTAAATAAATCTGCTGATTGTAGACTTAGCTGCTTCCCAGATTCTTGTAAAATTATTATTTGCATTTTAAGCTTTGAAAATTTTATAAGCCTTGTATGTAGTACGAGTATGTATGTAGTTTTGTATATTAGTTGTATTTGCGCGCTAATTTCTCGCTTATGTATGTATGTAAGTCTAATCATTTAGAATTTTTCTCATTATTTTTCCATCAACATTGCTTTTTTTTTTCTTTAACAGGGAAACTATGTGAAATTCTTGAAGAATTTACACACAGAGCAAGTGGCCAAGTTGCAATTAAAGAATCAACATGAATGCGATCTGCTCGAGGACATACGACAATTCACCATTAAGCGATCCGCCATAGAAAAATCATACAGTGAATCGCTGCTGAAGATTTCATCGCAATACTTGAATAAGAAGATACCAAATATACCGGATATAAAAATGGAGGGCATGGAAGAGCGATGGTGAGTAGAGGAAGGGAGTGAGCAAACAAGTAAATAAATTAGTATTTTTTTTTTTGAAAGTCGCATAGTGAATTTGAACTACATACTTACACATGTATGTATGTATGTATGCCACTATGCATGGCAGATGAATGAAGTGTTCCTAAGTATATATGTATGTATATATGTACATACATACTTGTTCGCGTCTAACCTAATTGCCGTGTTTGTCCTTTCATATAGAAAAATGTGTCCTCTGCAAATACAAAAAACATTTTGCAATTCGCTTGATTGTTTCGACCAGAAAGCGTTTAAACATTCATACAAGTAAGTGCCTCGGTCTGGTTTACATACACATGCCACTCAATTGAATCCTTTGACCTTGCCACGCTGTAAATAAAACACATTTGCTGTTCATATGCTCATATACATACATACATATATGCAAATCACATTTGTATGCATTCCATTAACAATTCCCAAAGCTGAAGGCTGTCTTGATTCTTACTTTGGTTGCAAAAGTTGCTAAATTTGCTTGCGGGGAAAGAAAACGAAAGAAAATTCCACAGATTGTGCCTTTTACTCCCTAACAACATAAATAACGTAATTTTCAAAGCACCTCCACCATATCGAACTAATAGAGGTCTCGAGTTCTGAAGTCGTGAGACTATGGGCCTCATGTAGAAAAAGTAAGCTTCAGCTCCGACTCACTTTTCAGTGTAAATTGAGGTCAGTTTTTATGTGTGGGGCCAACTATTTATGTCAGCATTAAAAATCGTTTTTCATCTTCAAAAGCAGTAACAAATAATTAGTCCTGAAGTATTAGTTAATGAAATAGTTGCTAGTTTACAGAATTTGTCAGCATATTGATAGCCACATTCTCACAACTGCATACATATCTACAAAAGTTTTCTGTGCAGGTGTATGTTTGTATGTCTACTTATATGGATATCCTGCAGTCAAGTTGTTGAAAAGGTGAAGGACTCGTTTGTTTATTTTCTTGTTTGACGTACATGTGTAATATAAAAATATTTTTAGAAGTACCTACTCTATGCAGAGGCATATGCACATGCATATGTATGTATAGTGTAGACTTCTTAAAAGCAGAATATTGTACAATATTAAAGAGTGGATACATCAAAGCGTGACTTAAGTCACTCGATAGCTTTGGAGTGATCTATGGATTTTGTTGTTTCAGATGTGTAAATTTCTTAAAAGTTCCTAAATAAGAAGCGCGTCCAATTCGTTGGTTAGTTAGGTGGTCTGTCTTAACCCTTTCGCGAACGTAAGCCTACAACTAGAAATATATATACACGACGAAATGAGAAGCTTTTTCTTTTGTGGAGTCGGTAAAAAACTTGACAAGGAAAAACTAATTTTTAACAATTCAATTTAAATAATTTTGCTTTTGATAGAAATATTTTTTTTCTTAAAAGATTTCTTCCTAAAAAAATGTATCCTAAACATAATTTTTTCCATAAATTTTGCTCTCAAGTGTATATTTTTTCTTAAATACATATACAGATATTTTTTGAGGTACAAACTGTGACCAGGAGATCTATTGTGCCGTCTTGTTCTTAGTTTTTTTCGAAAAATTTATATTTTTTTACCGGAAATTTTTTGTACTATATTTTCTTTCCAAATGTAATTGTATTCTAATTTGTAGTAAGTTTTTCTAGTTTGGATAAATATATTTATTTGTAAAATTTTATGAGGGGTTAAACGACCTGAACCTCACAAATCTGAATAATTTTTTTTAAAAGCTAAAGACTTCTCCTCATTCGATGTACAAATATTAAGAACTTCATTAGCAGAGCTTTTGGCCAGGCACGTAGTCACACTGGAGGTTTACTAATTGCGTTTTCTTTTCTACCGAAAAATGTCGCGTTTCTAGAGGCCTCAGCGCACAAATACTAAGAAGAGGGCAATGAAAGGCGAAATTTTTTGTAGAAAAGAAAACGCCAGAGGTTTTTAGTTCAGCGTTTGTTGAATGAAAATAAATAGTGGACATATCTGTGGTCTACAGGGGCCAATATTTATCTACTTGATGATAGAAGCCGGTCAGGTAAAATTAAACCACTTAGCGGTTGCAATGAATTTCAGCATGCCGTACAGAGAATAATATTCTCTCCGACATCACTATATCATAGGTCACTAGACGATCAGGGCTATGCCCTTCTATAGCCGTCACGACCAATACATAGCCCACACGGGATAAGCCACTTGATTTTAGATTTTATATCGACGTGCATAAAGTAAAAGCTCTCTCTGATTGCAACAGCTCTGTTTGAAATCTATAGAAAGCTTTAAAAAAGCTCTGTACGCGGGATCGTTTTTGATATCTCCAGACCGAATAAACTTTGTTATTTTCCGCGTACCACAAAAATAAGACAAGCTTGCAATTAAATAAGATGTCACAGTATATCGAGAAATTTTGATTGGTGGAATACACGCTTTCATTTAATTTATCCTCATATAACTAACTTTTTTCTCTCTCCAGGAACATGTGGAGCGTTTGGCGTACAGTACTCGAAGAGAACGAAAAGCTCGCACGCGCTCGCCTCGCTGCCATCGAGGTGTTCCAACAGCAAATAGCCGATGAGGCCAAGGTGTTACGTGACTACAAATTGGCCATTTCCAAGAGGGCGCTCTCACAAATAGTCAACGTACAAAAGGAGCTACATCTCAGTGTATCCGATGTGGATAAGACGAAGAAACAATATTTCGATGAGGAGCATTGTGCACATGATGTGCGCGATAAGGCACGTGACATTGAAGAAAAGCTTAAGAAGAAGAAGGGTTCGTTCTTCCAATCAATTACATCACTGCAAAAGAATAGCGCACGCGTCACGTCACGCAAAGAGCTGCTGGAGGAGAAATCGACTGGCGCACGCAATGACTACATACTCAGCTTGGCTGCAGCGAATGCACACCAGAATCGTTACTTCACAGTCGATCTACAAACAACGATGACCACCATGGAGAATTATGTGTTTGAACGTGTGGCCGAGTACCTGACACTGATGGGCCGCACCGAATTGCTCACCTGTTCTGCCACACAGAACTCATTCGGCAAGATACGCGATCAGGCGCAACAATTGACGCGCGAATACAATTTGCAGTGCTGCTACCTTTTCTATCCAGTGCTGAAGCAACACATCCAGTACGATTTCGAACCGTGCGATAATGATCCAGTACGAAAGATTACCACCGAACATGAGTCGGCATCAGAAACGCTTACGAAAGAGGCTAAGAATTTGGCGGGACGTGTGGTGAAGGAGAACTTGGCAATACGTGAAGCGGCTAAGAAGTTGGCTATTTGTGTATCACTGCGTGACTCAGGACAACGCAGCGATCCAAATGATCCGAATGGACCAGATTTGGATACAAAGATTGAGGAGTTTAGGGATTTGATAAGACGCTCCGAGACGGAGAAGGCCAAGGCCGAGGCATGCTTGCAAAGTTTGCGTGAAGGTGGCATCAATGTGGACGAGTGGGTGCAAGAGGCCGAGATTATGGGCGTACAGGAATTGGCAAGATCGGCTAGCTCGATCTCTATGCGCACCGATGCGTCGGGACAAGGGGTGAGTGTGGCTGTAAGGTAAATGAAATAATTTGTCTAATCTAAAATAATACGCACACAGGAAAATCCCAGCTCGGACTCATTCTATGACAGCGACAAGGAGGACGCTACTGCCACGCAGGCTGGTGCGGCCGCCAAATCAAAGGTGGAGAAGGAATTGTCGCGCGATAAGACATTTAGTGACAGCGAAGAAGGTAATGTTGGCAACAGTTGATTAGTAAATGAAATTGATTATAACTTTTTGCATTTTACTACAACAGAGGCGGACGAGCGTGTACCCGAGCCGATTGCTGCCGTACCAATGATGGCTGCCACTGGCGGCTGGGATGACCCAACAGAAGTCAACTGGGGCGGCGAAGAGGAGGAGAAGGAGGAATCCATTGTTCCTGAACCGAAGGAGGCTATCTTCAAGTGTACAGCTCTGTACAGTTACACTGTAAGCGCGAATTTATTTTTTTAANTCCATTGTTCCTGAACCGAAGGAGGCTATCTTCAAGTGTACAGCTCTGTATAGTTACACTGTAAGCGCGAATATTTTTTTATATTATCTTCTCGTCTCACCCACTCTTTCATTCCTCAATTGCAGGCTCAAAATCCAGACGAACTGACCATTGTCGAGAACGAACAACTGGAGGTGATTGGCGAGGGCGACGGTGACGGTTGGCTACGCGCACGCAACTATCGTGGCGAGGAAGGCTATGTGCCGCACAATTATCTGGACATCGAACAGGATACTGCCGTTAACGGTAGCTCAGGCAATCAATTGCGCTCACAAATCTCATTCTCATCTGTCGATTATACTGTTGACAATGAAGATCAAACGGTGGATTCCATGCAATCACCCGATCAGGTGTCCGTCATTATGGCGCCACAAAAGAAGAAGGCACCCGACGTACTCTATTGCATAGCGCTGTACGATTACGATGCCACCGCCGAAGATGAACTCACCTTCGAGGAGGGTCAAATTATAAAGATTGTAACAAAGACGGCGCATGGCGTTGACGATGGCTGGTGGGAGGGTGAATTGGATGGTAAATTTGGTAATTTTCCATCCTTGGTGGTGGAAGAGTGCGACGAGAATGGTGAACCGCTGACGGAAGGTGGCGATGAGTCACCACCACCGACCGCACCACCTAGCTTTGCGCTTCCACCGGCACCCGCACTACCGCCAGAGTATGCACACGAATTGACCGAGGATATGTTTGAATCACAGGAAACGGCAGGTGAGTGGCCTCAACTGACAGTTGAGTTTTGCCACTCATAATAATAATTCTATGTATTTGTGTTTTTGTATTTAGACGACGATAGCGGCTACATACCGAACGGTGGCGCACCCAGCATGCCTCCACCAGGTAATTTAGTTTATTCACTAAGCAACATTAATGTTGCAATTTTCACAACTCCTTTGGTACTTCTACAAAATTTGATCTTTATTTTATTAAATTTTACTTATTATAAGAACTCCTGCTTCTACTTACTTACATACTTACATATATATATCTTTAGAGGTAACAGCCACGATACCCATCTTACTAAACAATGTGTGCTACAACTTCCAATTTCCAATTTGCAAAATCAAAAAGTGATTTGTACTTATTTCTTTTCATCAAAACAGTGTTGTCCTTTTCTTATTGATTCTTAATTAAAAAAAAAAAAAAAAAAATGCAAAAACCAAAAAAATGCCCATTAAAATTTACCTTCACATGTTTGCGTGTTGTTTGTAAGTGTGTGTGTGTGTGTGTATGTGTTTTCAAAAAGCTTTTTTCACGCGTTGCTTCTCAGAACACAAAACCACAAAAATCGCTTCAACCTGCACCGCCACACCATAAATAAAAATCTGATAAATAATCATGCATAAACTCACAGCCATAAATGTATGTGTGTATGTTTGTGTATGTTTTTTCATGTTTTCACACACACACTCCAATTTACATTTGCTTACCCAAATGCACACTGCACATACATACATAACACTTCCATGTCATTGTGTACACTTTTACTCACACATGAGTATATATGTACACACTCGTATCACTAAATCTTCATAAAAAAAATATTATCTCCTTTTTATATGGTACCTATTCGTATTAATGCGCTTTTGTTTTTCAAGTGCAAAGTAAGAAAGCCAGCGTCAAAAAGGGTAAATGCTAGTAGTGTTTGCTTCGAACTTCTTGCTTTACCGATTTTACTACCTTTCTACTAAGTAGGCTGTCCTTGTATACAAACATACATACATACATACATATATAGTAACTAGTTAAGTCTTTTTTTTTAGTCTGAAGTTTTACTATCCACTAATGAGGATGCGCACATACATACATATAGAAATTCTTAAATAGTATTTTGTCTTGATGTTTTCATGTTTGACTTACACGTATATATACATACATACATATAAACATATCCTTTGTACTACCGTAATCGTAACAAAAGCAAATATAAAAAGTAATATTATAAAACGGGGCAATTCTGGCGACAGTCTTTGAACTCACCACAGTCCTTCAAAAGACAAAAGTCTGTTGTTAATTGTGGCAACTATCTTCAAAAGCTCTTTTATGTCTTTGGAAAAACGAATTGAAAGATTTGCTAACGTCTATGTTTTGTCTTATGTCTTTTAGAACAAATTTTTTAAAAATTAAATAAAATTAAAACAATAACAACAATAAAAACTAAAAAAAAATATATTAAAAAAGAAAAAAATTAAATAAGCAATAAAAAAAGGAAAAATAAATAACTACGTTTCTAAAAATTAAATGATATTTGAAATATTTGTTTCTATTATACAACCATAAAATCTAAAAATGGAAATAAAATTAAAGTAGAAAAGAAAAAAAAAATGTAAAGTAAAATAAGTTACTGATACTAAATTGCATTAATTTTTTTTTTAATAATATAATCTAAAAAAGAAATTGGCAAAAAAACATAAAAAATTAATCAAAAATTAAAAAAATACATTGCACTGAATTTTTTTAAATAATTTTTTGAAGTAATCCTATTTTTTAAATCTCAAAGATCTTTTAAAAAGTTTTGAAGTCAAAGAGAAAAAACTAAGCACGCAGTTTTACTGTAATTTACCCATACCCAGCAAAAAACACGATTACCACAGGAACGAAAGTAGAAACGAGCTAGGCGATGGGAATCGCTTACCCTTTCGCTTCAAGAAGGCCTTATTTTAACATGGGCATGTCATTGGAGGTAAGCCCTTACCCGCAGCATTACCTTCAAACGAAGGGAGAACGCATGGATAAACAGAATCCAGAGAAGCGAACAAAGAATGCCTTACAGAGAAACTAATGTAGAATGCCTAGATAAGTACATACTTATTTATATTAAATTTAAATCAGAAAATGTCTTAAAAGATTAAATCTAATTAAAATTTTTATAAATCAGCTTTTATACAAACATATGTATGTATG